AAGTTCAAGTGTGGATGCTCGGCCATCTATATCGGTAGAGCGGAGGGATAACTGCGTTACCGAGAATATCCCGGTCTGCCTTCAGAAAACAATGAGTGGAAACCTCGTAAGTATGACATCGCTGATGATCCGCAGGAAACTCAGTTCGTCAACCACAACATTTGGTCGAAATGAAGCACTGTGTCACGATGCGCGACGCGTTCAGAATCCTATACAACACAAAGAACACCAGGGTTCCGAAATAAGCCGATGCACTAGCCATTCAAAATTACCATCCCCAACTGTGTAAACACGTGAACAGCTTATCACTCTGGCTCTACCTCGGTAACAAATGTGTTTGATAAGTAATCTCTATGGTTCCGATATTTCTGACCATATGGTTATGTTCACATAAATTGCAGTATGCACGTGTACAGATGCAGCGAAATGATCCAGGATGCGTAGTGAAAACCTGTGATTTTGGTTTACCCATTCAAATAATTCAGCTCTACCATAATACTATGATATTTATGCGTAAGATGTGACTGCCCAACGAATCGAAAACAAAAAGGGCATTCTTGAGACTAAGAAAACGTAGGCGTGTAACAAGATCAGTTCATCCCAACCTGACCTACGCTCACAAAACTTAACCACAAAAACATTCGACCACCGGTGCCTACGACGAATACGAAAAACTGTTCGGAACGACCGGTTTTGGAGAAATTGAAGGGGTCACACGTGGACTACCTACATCTTTCTTGGTTCATGGACAGGAATACACATGCAACCTGCTCCGGACCTCTCGGAGCTATCACAGACGCATGCTTGAACTGCCAATCGTCGTAACTGAGGTGTGCACGTGTACATGAGATCACCCATTTCTTACCGACTTTGAGGATGTCACTCGTACCAAGTTCCGAGAAATGCCACAAACCGTCAAACAGGTAAACCTGTGCTACAGAAGTCCAGAAATGTGACGAGCATTGTGAACAGCTGAAAACCTAACTATAAGCTGCAATGCATGACACAAAAAGTGGGAATCTAAATCACTTCAGAACATATTTTTATTATACACAAAGAGATTTACAGCAAGAAGGGTAAACCCCATAGTCAATGGCATTCTGTAAGGTGGAAGGTATATGGGGTAATATTCAAGGGAGAATCAATTGGTTAATTCTGCTTTGGAAAAGTATAAGATCATATGGGCTTGGCAACACGGAGACGGGCAGAATCTTTCACAATTCGGCAGTCCTGAGGGAAAAAGACGATTGGAGGATAGAGGTCCGACATCTAAAGACAGAAACCAGACAAGAGTGACTACCGGCCTGAGAACGAGGAAAGGTCACCGGGAAGGGAACCGCGGAAACGAGTTCAGAAGAGCGAAAACCAAAATAAAAATAACGATAAAAAAGAGATAAAGAAGCAACTATCTGGCGATGGGAAAGCGAGTGCAGGTTAGAAGTTAAAGACGGTTCTTTGATCAGCGGGATGGCCCTACGTTGAACACGGTCGAGGAGAGGAACAGAATACGAAGCTTCACTCCTGACATGACTAGAGTAAATGTCTTCTTACTCCTTTCTTTATTTAATAAATATACAAATGTACAGTCAGCTTTCAGTAAGAAGGCTGCGGCCATTCAAAGGCTGTCTGGGAAAGATCCGAAAGACGGGCAGTGGTTCGAACCCGGGACCCATGGGTCACCATTTGATGACCTAGCCACTTGGTCACCACCGCACAGATATTCGAGCATTGGGCGGATTTTAGCCTCGTAGATTCACCTCAGAACGAACACTACTCAGACTTATACCAGCAGGTAGATGTGATTGTTGTGTTTGATCATCTACAGTTCGAGATGTTTATGAACCCGGCTAATTCGCATGCACGAGATAAGCAGAAGTAAAATGAGCATTTTATATAATTCTATCCTCGTTTCCTAACTATCGAGATTTTATCTTTAAACATAAAGTCTAACTGCATGATTCCGAGTTACTGAAAACGACTATTAACCTGTTTTCGATATTCTAGTTCTATTGAGTGCTGTTAGGGAAGATACCAGTGGAAGACGGCTCTGTCATGAACTAAAACGAATTATGCATTGACAAGCTTCTATTTATTTTCATAATAAGGACGGTTTAAATAATACCAGTATATCAATGTCTTGGTCTGTGCCAGTTTGTGACACAACTTTACTCGGCATATACAGAACCTCCTTTAGAGAACAGCATGATCGCGGATGGCTAGTTCCCAGCAATGTCACGCTTTCCGTAGAAGGGTTGAGAAGAAACTTTGTACGATTCGTGACTTTGGCTAGGTTACTGTCGTGGGCCAGTTGATTCCAAACTCGAGCTGATTTCTTCCAAACTTTGTCGATCCACTAGCGATACCAAATAGGTCAGATTCCGTTGCAGAATCAGTTGCATTTGAGCTGCTTCGACAAAATTACCTTTTCTTGAAAGCTCAGAAATTAACTGAATGATATATTCGTTTTCATCTAGGAGCTGTCATTGGTTAACCGGATATTAGAATCAATTATAAGTGATACTTACCCTTTTCACACTAGTCGATTCAGGATCTGGAAGCGGGTGAGACACATCCGAAGAAAACACGGCTGACATCATGAAAAGGAATCGATGAAGATCTGAAAATGATAATCTTCATGCACCAGGAAACACTTTCCTACAAAAGCAGTCAGACCAGGCGGTATCAACTTAATTGAGCAAACTCAAATAGGGTAAAAATTAGGCGCATATTCACAAAGAGGTCAAAGTTCCCAAATCGCTTTCCCTGATCTACTTGACATACCAATTGCTCCCTTGCGTGATTTCGGAACGTCGGCATGTTGCCAATCTGATTTTAGAAAAATGCTCAACTTTGAGACCCGAACTACCTTACTATTCAAGTAAATTGCAAGCTTTTCTCGATGGTCCGAATGCTAATGTAGCTGTCTGTTTGACATGCATTTTGCTCATAAACAGAGCGAAACGACATTATAGAACTAGATTAGTTCATGTTGCATCCTTACAGAAACTGGGGAAGCAATTTGAGAAGGTACACAAATTTCTTTACTCGGGCATCACTAGCATGTTTTTGTATTTCACATACACCTNCCCTCCAATGGTTGGCCACGTAAGTGAGTTCCATCTTATTAATAAGCGGCGGCGTTCGAGGAAATCGTGGGTTACCGTTCGGATAACGACCTCTTGGTAAAACCGGCGAGTCTGATAAAAGTTATGCGCGCGGGTACGACGC